CTTTCAGCTAAGATCCATCTAACATCAGCAACAATATCCCTAGTACCACAACCCCTTCTAAACCCAGCCTGGACTTCCGGCAGTTTTCTGCTGATGTGCTGTTCCAGTCGTTTTTGGATAATCTTCAGTAGAATCTTGCTTGCATGTGAAATCAATGCATAGCAAGTAATTAAAAAGAGGATAGCTTGGATCAGGTGTACCTTAGTCTTCAAATTGACATTATTGCTCTTTAGGACTTAGGCGAGGTCCTTGGCAACAGATTTTTCCGTTTCTTGACTGCTGCTACCATGAATGTTGATTACGGATCCAAATAGAATGAAAGGGTTGGCGACTTCAATCTTTTCTCCATCTATCATGATGTTGCCGACCGGTCCAGTAGTGAGAATTTTTGTTTTTCTTGATGTCACGTTGTAATCCATACTGTAGGCTGTAGTCTTCGATCCTCTGCAGTAATTCCTTCAAGTCTTCCGATTCAGCAAGCAAGGTTGTGGTGTTTGTATGATGTAGATGGTCGATGAGGCTTCCTCCAAACCTGATGCCACATTCTCCCTCATGTAGCTCAGCCTCTGGAATGATTTGTTCAACATACAGACTGAACAGGTGTGGAGAAAGGATGCCACCCTGGTGCACACCTTTCTGATTTTAAATGCATGGTTCCTTTGTTGTGTTGGGACAACTTCTTCTAGTTCTATCTCACACGAGCACAGTGAAGTGTTCTGGAATTCTCGTTCTGCTCAATGTTAGCCATAATTGGTTATGATCTGCACAATCAAATGCCTTTGAATAGTCTAAAATACACGTTAACATCTTTCTGTATTGTCTCCTTTCAGCCACGATTCATCTGACACCAGCTATGATGTTCTCGGTGCCACAGCCTCTTCTGAACCCACCTTAATTTTAGCAGTTCCCTGTCAATGTGCTATTCCTGTGGCTTTTTAATAATCTTCAGAAAAATTTTATTTGCATTGATATTTATGAACTTGTCTGATAATTTTAGCATCCTGGTGATAAAAGTTTTTGGGAATGAAAACAAGTATGAATGTGTTCCAGTAAGTTAGCCAAGCAGGTGTCTTCTAAATTTCGTGGCCGAGACTGGTGAGCACATCCAGGTTTGCATCTCTTTCTTGAAACACCTATATTGGTGGTTGTTCTTATGTGCCACAGAGTTGCCTGCGACTCATAGCGATCCTATGTACAGCAGCCCTAAACCCTGCTCTATCCCTTCCCAATCCTATTGTCTCTGACACACCCATCTCCATTATTCCATCAATCCATCTCATGGAGGGTTTCCCCCTCCTGTTCTGTCCCTCCACTCTCCCAAACATGATGTCCCTCTCCAAGGACTGGTCCCACCTTGCAACATATCCAAGACATGTCAGGTGACACTTCAGAATCCTTGCCTTCAAAGAGCAGCCTGATTTCATCCTCTCCAAGACAAACCTGTTTGTTCTCTTAACAGCCCATGATATATTCAATACTCTTCTCCAGCACCACAGCTCAAAGGCATCAATTCTCCTTTTATCACCCCTAGCCATTGTCCAGCTCTCAGATGCATAGCAAGTAATTGCAAAGGCTGTGGCCTGTATCAGGTGCACCTTAATCTCCAGATTGACATCGTTGCTCTTCAGTGCTTTGAAGAGTCTATCAATTACTGGAGCATTCCTTTTTTGCAATGCCTTCAGTGCAGCTTGAACTTCTTCTCTCAATACTAATTGTTCTTGATTATAGGCTACTTCCTGAAATGGTTCTTTGTCAGCTGTTTTTGGTACAATGACTCTGTGTATTTCTCCCATTTTCTTTTGATGCTTCCTTTGTCCATAATTGCAATTTAAAGTTTGAATTTGTTTTTCAGTTCTTTTGGCTTGAAAGCACCCTAAGTATGTTTTCCCTTTTTATTTTCCTCACTCTAGCTCTTTGCACGTTTAGTTATATGTTTTGCTTTCTCTTCTCAAGCTGCCCTTTGCACTCTTCTGGTCATCTGTTCAGCACTTCTGCCCTTTGTTGTGGCCTCTCTACGTTCTACTGGGATTTCCAGAGTCTCTTCTGACTTCCATGCTGCTGTTTCTTTCTCCCCTGTCTTTGTAATGACTTTGCCTTCTTTATGGATAACACCCTTGATATCATTACACAACTCATCTGCTTCAATCTATTTTTGAGATGGGTTTTAAATTCAGATGAGATAGATTCAAGGTCATATTTGGTGCTTATGGACTTGTTTCCATTTTCTTCAGCTTTAATTTGAACTTGTACTTGTGTAATTGATGTAGGTGTGTGTTATTTGAGTAGAAAGATGGTAACCAGCCATAGGGGGAGGTGTATGACTAGAGCATAAACTCTAGTTCTATTTGCCACACGGATTGGAAAAAAATCTGAACGTGTGAACACTACTTGGAAATAGTGTTTTACAAACCCGATCTCTCCTTTAAGTAAAAAGACTCAGAGACGGGGTAGTTTAAGTGTGTGATCAATTAATTGTTGTCTGGCACAAACTATATTCGCCTTTTCTATTAACTTTCATATTAAAAAGCCACGGTCTGGAGTGCCAGATAACAGACCTGCGCCAGCATTTGCCATTAATTTAAATTTCAGAAGAGGGCCATACTTAGGTTAAAGTCTGTTGGCTTTATCTGAAATTGCAAATGTAACTGGGGGCTTTATTTTCATTCTGTTATGTGCCATGGAGTAGGAATCCACTCAAAGCTGACCCTCCAGCGGTTTTTGGTCATCTTTCTCCCGCTGCTACATTTGTAATTTCTGTGTTCTTCTCGGTTCTGAGATTCTTCTGTCCAACTTCCCCCTAGATTCTGGAGATGGGCGGAGCGGGGCGAGGTTTTTATATGGGGCGTGGCTAAGGGGGCGGGGCCTGGTTTGAGGGCGCGGCGTCGATGGGCGGGGTTTGGATAGGGCGGGGCTATGGGGCTCTGGTGGGGCGGAGCTTGATGAGCCTGGGGCGTGGTCTGGGGCGGAGCTTGTTGCACCGGCCTGGGGGCGGGGCGAGCCCCGGATGACGGGAGGGGCCTGGCGCGCAGGGGCTGGTGGGCGTGGCCTGGGGAGGCGGGACGCGCGTGGCGTCAGTGACGCGGTTGCCAGGGTGAAAGGTCGGGGCCGCTCGCAGTCCAACA